GTTTTTTGTTTAAAAAGTAATCCTCCATTTTTATCTTTAACATTTTTGTTGTTATTTTAGTTTGGGGACAGTCAAAAGTTAAGACTTGTTCGTATCTTAAGAAGTACGGTAATGGTAAGAGTTGGAGGTGGATGGGTCGCGCTGGACGAATTTTTATTGAAGAATGATCCATGCCGAGGTATGTTAATTTTTTTATTACAAAAAATTTTTTTTAAATACATTTTGTGTATAATAATTTAAAATATTTAAAATCTTAATATTTAATATAAATGAAATATTTTTAATTGTTATACACAATTTCTATAACAATAATATACATAATATACACATAATTACAGGAAGTTAACATTTTATTAATTTAAATTTAAAAACAATGGGGACAAAAAGTTTTACATACAAATAATAACAAATTCTTCTTAATAATCATAATTAATACATATTAATTTACATAATTATTAAAATAAGACATGTAATTAAAAATCATCTTAAACTTATTATCCTTAATCTAATCAGCAACGATTTATATATATTTTATTTAACTCCTCCCTCGTCTGTGTTATTTTTTTTATAAAAAATATTTATTAACTGTGTCTCCTGAGGATATTAAAAATATCTAAATGAAACCAACAAGGTAGATAGTAAAAAATAAGACGCTAAACATTTTAAGCTCATAACAACAACGTTCCTTAACAAAAAAAAAATCTTTACTAATATGGACGATCTTTCTTGTTTCCTTTTATTCCTGCATCATTTCATTTATTTTTGGGTTTTGTTTCTTCCGGTTTCCCAATTATTTTCTTTTTATATAAAAAAAAATTATCAAAAATCATTTTATTCTTCGTTTCTTTTCCTTCCCTACTCAATCACCTCATTTTTTGTTGGGTGTGTTCGGTGTCGAAGTTATGTTAGTTTTACCTTTACCCGACCCTGACAAACCTGAGCAGCACGAACCTTGGTGCCCTCTTGGTAAGCCTGCATGGGTGTTACCACCAAAAAATATTTATTTTAGAAATAATCAAAATAAAAATCAAATAATCAAAAAATTTTTTGGTTTAATAAGTAAGTAAAGTTTTATTTTGGTTATTTCTATTGTGGTTGTTGGTTTTTTGGAACGTTATTCTAATTATTTTTTGGTGCATGGTTTTTTCCGTAAAAACTAACACAAATGAATACCACAAATCGGTGTTTTATGTGTCTGGGTATAAATAATTTCTTTTAGTTATAAATAGTTTCTTTTAGCGGCAAATTTTTTTATGTTTAATTTTTATTTTGGGATGGATATTTGTATAGAATAGATTTTTATCGTTTTAGATTGTAGTAAATTATAAATAACACTCGTGCTATATATTTTTATTTTAGTTAAAAAAGCTTATTTGTTTCTTTTTTTTTTCTCATACAGGATGTTTCAAAAGTAGTATTTAAAAAATTATAAAATCTGAAAGAATATTTTTTCTAATCAATCTTTTTCAATTTTTAAATATCGTAGCTATTTGATAAAATATGTATTTATTTACAACTAGATATTTGTTTTGTCTTCTTATTTCTTAGCTTTCAGCGTTGATTGCCTACAAGAAGAAGCAAGTGAAACACCTGCTCTTAGTTTTTCAATAAACTAGTCAATGTTTGCTTAATTTAATAATTTTGAACAGTTTGTTATGTTCCGGTGAAGTTCTTAAGTTATTTATTTTGAAAGAATTATTATTTCAGTAATAATTCTTTAATATGGTATACCACCTGTGTAATCAAATTTTGTCAAAAATCTGTTTTGATTAAATTTGTTGACATAATTTTAAATATTTTGATCAAAACTGCTTTATTGAAGTGTTCTTAGTGAATAGAACTTTAGTAAAGATCTTAAATTTGGCCACACTTTATTATATTTATATTGCTTGAAACTAATGTTTCGGTTAGAATCTCAGGAAGTTTCTTGAACTTGATTAAGTTTCGATGAAGCTTTTGAATAAATATTAAATTATTAGATCAAAATTAAGTTTTTGATGAAGTTACATGGGTTGCGGATCGTTTCATTGAAGATCTTAAGCATAATACTAAAGATTGGGTAAACGTCAGGTTTTGAATCTGAAGTAGCTCAATTAAGGTCTAATTAATTGAAGGTTACTTCAGACTCGAATTAGGGATTAGTTAATACAAATTTCTTTGGATAATGTGTCTCATTCCTAGACGTATTTAATGAGAAATAATTTAATAGTTAAAGTTAATGAATATAGTTTACGATTTTCGTTAATATTTTAGTTATTCTTCGAACCCATTTGATAATTTTGACCAATTTTGACAACAATTCAACTATTTTTGTTTCAAATCTTCAAATATTAACTCAAGTCTTAAATCCATTTAATGATTTTTGAATTAATGTTTGAATCACTGTTTAAGCTAAATTAATATTTGAGATTTGGTAGATTTGGTAAATGACATTTGGAGTCGATTTAAAGTAATCTCAAATTTTGAGATTAGTTTAAAGATTTTTTTTTAATCAAATAGCCATCTTTTGCAAAAATTTGATAGTTATTGTTTGAGCTCATGGAATAATATTTAGGTCAACTCCGTTTTCTATCGTTAATTTATTGGTATTCAAATTGTTACTTCACTTTTTACTCAAATATGAGTCTAATTGTTGAGTCGACAGCTAAAATATGGTACATTTTCTGATTCATTTTCTTTAATTGTAACTTGAGTAACTACTTTTATATAATAACTTGAGTTATTGCGTCATTTTTCAAACAATTTCAGAGTCCATTTTGACTCAATTCAGAAACAATTTCATAATTTAATTTTGAATTCATTCGGTTAATTTCTAAAACAAATTGACGGTTTCTGAGTTAATTATAGAGTAACCATTTTTCCAGTTATTTTTATAGTTTTTGAGTTGTACCATTTTTAGTCAACCTTTGAATTCATTAGTAAGTAAATAAAACAAAATTTATAAAACAAGATAATTGTTTTTGCATTCATTTCTCAATGAATTTAAATGACAGTTTGAGTCGATTCACATTTTAAATCAATTTCTCAACGTTTAGAGATTATTTTAAACATTTTCAGTCCATTGTTTCGGCCCATGGATAATATTTACTCCAATTTCTCCATTTTCTTTCTTTAATTTGTTAGATTTTGAATTGTTACGTAACTCTTTAGTTAATTTTGCAGTCTGTGTATCGTGTAGCAAATTGCTCAATGAGCAGCTTTTAGAGGCTACAAGACAGTTTTTGAGTTAATTCCTTTAATTGTACCTCTTGGGTTCATTTGAAAGTTTTTGAATCAATGTATCAAATTTTGAGACAATTTTCTCAATGAATTTCATAGATTCGTAACTTTGTGAGTTATTTAGACCAATTTTGGAAACAATCTGGCAGTTTTTGAGCCATTTCTTTTAATTGTATTTTGAGTTATAGCGTCATTTTTCTTTCAATTTTAAAGGTTATGTTCGAGACATTAAGTGAATTTGCAAACACTGTCGAAGATTTTCGGTTACTTTATCTACTTTTTACTGAACATTTAGGTTCATTGGACAGTTTTTGAGTCAATATATCAAGTTTTGAGACAATTGTCTCAATGAATTTCATACTTTTTGAGTTGTGTTAGCTATTTACTTCTTTTTGACTTAATTTATGAGTAGTTCAGGGCAATATATCAAGTTTTGAGACAATTTACTCAATGAATTTTAAAGCTTTTGACTTGTGTTTGCTATTTACTCATTGTTTGAGTCCGTTGTGAGTCATTCAAAACAATTTTGAAAACAATCTGGCAGTTTTTAAGTCATTTCCTTTAATTGTGTTTTGAGTTGTTGCGTTTTTTTATGTCAATTTTAGAGTCTATGTTTGAGATATTATGTCAATTTGGAAGGAGTGTGGCAGCTTTTGAGTCAGTTTCTCAACTGTTAACTGAAGCCCTAGCTTCATTTCACAGTTTTTGAATCAATGTATCAAGTTTTGAGACAATTTTCCCAATAAATTTCATACTTTTTGAGTTGTGTTTGCTATTTACTCCTTTTTGAGTTCATTTATGAGTAGTTCAGGGCAATTTTGGAACCAATCTGGCAGTTTTTGAGTCATTTCCTTTAATTGTATTTTGAGTTATAACGTCATTTTTCTATCTATTTAAAGTTTATGTTCGAGACATTAAGTGAATTTGCAAACAGTGTCGCAGATTTTAGGTTACTTTATCTACTTTTAACTGAACACTTAGGTTCATTGGATAGTTTTTGAATCAATATATCAAGTTTTGAGACAATTTTCTCATTGAATTTTAAATCTTTTGACTTATGTTTGCTATTTACTCATTATTTGAGTCATTCAAGACAATTTTGCAATTAATCTAGCAGTTTTTAAGTCATTTTCATTAATTGTGTTTTGAGTTGTTGCGTTATTTTTCTATGAATTTTAAAGTTTATGTTCGAGATATTAAGTCAATTTGGAAACAGTGTGGCAGCTTTTGAGTCAATTTCTCAATTTTTAACTGATGGCCTCTTCATTTCACAGCTTTTGAATCAATATATTAAGTTTTGTGACAATTTTCTCAATGAATGTCATAGTTTTTGAATTGCGTTAGCTGCTCACTCATTATTCGAGTAACTTTGCAAGTTATTTAGGCCAATTTTGGAAACAATCTAGCAATTTTTGAGAATGATGAATTTCATAGTTTTTGAGTTGCGTTAGCTGCTCACTCATTATTCGAGTAACTTTGCAAGTTATTTAGGCCAATTTTGGAAACAATCTTGGAGTGTTTGAGTCATTTCCTTTAATTGTATTTTGAGTTATTGCGTTATTTTGCTATCAATTTTAAAGTCTATGTTCGAGACATTAAGTCAATTTTGGAAGCAGTGTGGCAGCGTTTGAGTCAATTTCTCAACTTTTAACTGAAGCCCTAGCTTAATTTGACAGTTTTTGAATCAATATATTAAGTTTTGAGACAATTTTCTCAATGAATGTCATAGTTTTTGAGTTGCGTTAGCTGCTTACTCATTGTTTGAGTACCTTCGTGAGTTATATAAGCCAATTTTGGAAACAATCTGGCATTTTTTTGATTCATTTCCTTTAATTGTATTTTGACAGTTTTTGAATCAATATATCAAGTTTTGTGACAATTTTCTCAATGAATTTTAAAGCTTTTCATTTGTGTTTGCTAATTACTCATTGTTTGAGTCACCTGTAAGTCATTTAAGACAATTTTTTAAACAATCTGGCAGTTTTTGAGTCATTTCCTTAATTGTATTTTGAGTTGTTGCGTTTTTTATGTCAATTCTAGAGTCTGTGTTTGAGACATAATGTCAATTTGGAACCAGTGTGGCAGCTTTCGAGTCAATTTCTCATCTTTTAACTGAAGGCCTAGCTTCATTTGACAGTTTTTGAATCAATATATTAAGTTTTGAGACAATTTTCTCAATGAATTTTAAAGCTTTTCACTTGTGTTTGCTAATTACTCATTGTTTGAGTCACTTGTAAGTCATTTAAAACAATTTTGGAAACAATCTGGCAGTTTTTGAGTGATTTCCTTAATTGTATTTTGAGTTGTTGCGTTTTTTATGTCATTTCTAGAGTTGGTGTTTGAGACATTATGTCAATTTGGAACCAGTGTGGCAGCTTTCGAGTCAATTTCGCAACTTTTAACTGAAGGAATAGCTTCATTTGACAGTTTTTGAATCAATATATTAAGTTTTGAGACAATTTTCTCAATGAATGTCATAGTTTTTGAGCTGCGTTAGCTGCTTACTCATTGTTTGAGTACCTTCGTGAGTTATATAAGCCAATTTTGGAAACAATCAGGCATTTTTTTGATTCATTTCCTTTAATTGTATTTTGACAGTTTTTGAATCAATATATCAAGTTTTGAGACAATTTTCTCAATGAATTTTCAAGCTTTTCACTTGTGTTTGCTAATTACTCATTGTTTGAGTCACCTGTAAGTCATTTAAGACAATTTTTTAAACAATCTGGCAGTTTTTGAGTCATTTCCTTAATTGTATTTTGAGTTGTTGCGTTTTTATGTCAATTCTAGAGTCTGTGTTTGAGACGTAATGTCAATTTGGAACCAGTGTGGCAGCTTTAGAGTCAATTTCTCAACTTTTAACTGAAGGCCTAGCTTCATTTGACAGTTTTGAATCAATATATTAAGTTTTGAGACAATTTTCTCAATGAATGTCTTAGTTTTTGAGTTGCGTTAGCTGCTTACTCATTGTTTGAGTACAATCTAGGCATTTTTTGATTCATTTGTTTTAATTGTATTTTGACAGTTTTTGAATCAATATATCAAGTTTTGAGACAATTTTCTCAATGAAGTTTAAAGCCTTTTACTTGTGTTTGCTATTTACTCATTGTTTGAGTCCATTGTGAGTCATTCAAGATAATTTTGGAAACAATCCTGCAGCTTTTGAGTGAATTTCTCAACTTTTAACTGAAGCCCTAGCTTAATTTGACAGTTTTTGAATCAATATATCAAGTTTTGAGACAATTTACTCAATGAATGTTATAGTTTTTGAGTTGCATTAGCTGCTGACACATTGTTTGACTACCTTTGTGAGTTATTTAGGCCAATTGTTTCATAATTTCATAATTGTTTAAGTTGTGTCAGCTATTTAATCATTTATTGAGTCCATTTGTGAGTTTTGTTTAGAATCAATCTGGTAGTTTTTGAGTCATTTCTTGACATTGTATTTTGAGCTTTTATTTTTGAGCATATTTGAGTCATTATGTCATTTTAAAACCAGTGTGGGAGTCAATATCTCTACTTTTCAATGAACACTTAAGTTTATTTGACTTTACTTTTTAACCAATAGCTAAGTTTTGAGAAAATATTTTCCAGTTATTAAATCAAGCTTTAAATCAACTTATTAATTTTATTGATCAATTAGTCAACTTTTAGACACCTTGGCAGATGTTAAGCAACTTTTGTTTGACCCTGTTTAGATACATTAGATGCAATAATTTTTTAGTTATCTCATCGTCGCTTAATCAATTCATAAATTTGACAATTTTGTGTCAATAAATTAATCATTTCACAATCTTTTGTTTATTTGATGTCTCATATTCGATATCTTTTAAGTTGATCCGTTACAGTCTATAAGATAATTTTTGTATATTTTTTATTCTAGCTTTTCATTCTGCTTAAAACAAGTTCTTGAGTCAATAAATTAATTTAATACAATTTGTTGTGTTAACAAATGAAATATTTTAGTAGATTCGTTCATTTTTAAAACGATTTGTTACATTTTATGTGAATGTTTCGTTAGATATCGAATCAATATGTAATTCGAGACAATTTTACAATTTTTGAAGTAATCGTTTATTTTTAAGTCAATTTTTAAATGTAGTTATCAATTAGCTATTAATTTATTACCCATAGAGTGTTAAATTTAAATTAATACGGTAATTTTGAAGATAATGAGCCAATTTTTAAGATAACTTAATTCCTTTTTTTGTTAATATTTTAATTTGTTAATATTTGAGATACAATAACAGTGATTGAGTCATTTTACCAATTTGTAGATCATAGAAATAGTGTTTTAGTTAACTTCTTGAGTCAGTTCTTTTAGTCTTGAGTCAGTTTATGGTTTCAACTTTAGTAATAATTTCACCTAAACATTGTTTAGATCAATTTATCAATTAGTTAAGTAAAAAGAAGAAAAAGTTTGATTCATTTTTTAGGTTATTCAGATTACTTTTGAAACATCCATATCATGATCATCATCATACAAATATATTTATCATAATTGATGTTATGCATTGAATGCATTTATTGGTGTTTTATCGTTATATTTTTAATCAAGATAAATTTTTAAGTTAGAACACATAATCCATCACGCCATTGAACGTTTTTTTCATACACAAATTCACTAAATACACTTTACATCATCATATTTTTTTTTTGTCATCGTCATCGATCGATTTTATTTTTATTTTTGCGTAAATCGAATACGACCGATTATTTTTGTTGTTTATTTTTTTTATTATTATTTTTTAATTCTCCCTTATTTACTATTTTTCCCCACCTAACCTTGCGCACACAACAGCTAAGGGTCGCACCAACATTGAACTGAGGGAGCAGTTCATCCTAGCGGACGGAGTCTCTCAAACGATGTCCGCGTTCAGGCCAAAAACTTCAGCTTCCACTTCCGGTTCTTCGGCCAGCTCGTTGCGCACTCCTGCTGGACCTATCACTAAGGTATTGACCAAAAAGCAAAAAAATCACTGAAAAGTTATTAAAAATAAAACGCGCAATAAGTAATTTTTTAAATTGAAACAACAAAACTAGAATTAAACTTGCAAAAAGTTCAATGGAAATTTTATATATTTAGTTCAGAAAAAAGGAATATTCAAATTCAAGTTTTGATTTAATCTTTTTTAATTTGTAGAAAAATTTGAATGTGAAAATTCTTCTTTTTTGTATTTAGACCTAATATTTTCAGTAGCATCTTGGCACGGCACCTGTACTAGTAGATTTATTGCATCGTGACAAAAAAATACTTTAAAAAGCTTAAAAGAGTACACATTGAAGGCGCAAGACCGTAGTAAGTTTTGCATGTAACTTCTTGTTTTTGATATAAAACCTTTTTTTAAAGGGCACGATTAAGGGGCAACTTCTTTTAGAAAGAAAAGGTAAGGGACACATTACTTCCGGTTTTCATAACAACCTCAGGAGAATCAGTATTCTCACCTCTTAACTTACACTCCATTTCATTTTCTTTCAAAAATCATTTTTTGGGAAAAATTATTTTATGTTTTCATCCAAAATCATCACTGCTATAAATGTTACCTCCTTTTTGTCTTTCCTTGTTATTTTCTAATTTCACAAAATTAACCGTTTATTTTTTGAAGAAATTTTTGAATTATTTTTATGGGGGACTTTTATGCACACAAATTTTACTTTGCTTAAATTGGCAATTTTTTGTCCCGAGAGTACCAAATAATTTTTTTCTGTTTTATTTTCAATCCTAATCACAAAATGAGTTAACAAAAAAAAATGAAAATATATTTAGTGACTGAAATCTTTTCAATTTTAACAAATGTATTTAAATGTTTTTTTATTAACACACCAAAAAATCAGAAAATACCTACAATCTTTTTTACACACGTATTTCTGGACTATTTTTCTTGATGTGTTGCGCATGTATAATGTTTAGCTGAAGAACACTTGGCGGAACTAATGCCAATTTTCGAGCAACTTCGAGCAAAGGGAGAGGTTGGCAATGCATACCCAATGCAAGTCGGCTCAACATCTGGGCCAACAGTTTATATGGCACACGGGAATCCGTACTCTTGTCATAATAGGGTAATATACTCACTTAGGAAAAATCTTTTATTTTTTAATTTAAATTGGGTTATGGGCTTTGTTTTATTTTAGTTTTTTTTTTCCTTTTTTTTTGTTTTATTTCTTATATTTGGTTGGGAATGCTGTTATGTATGTGTTTTCGTTATTTTTATGTTACTTAAGTATTTTTTTTACTTTTCTATTATACTTTTTAAAATTTTACTTGGGGATGCACAATGATCCGAAAATTGTTTTTTGCTTAAGATGTTCAGTCTGAATTTTTATAACTAAAAAATAGGTAACGAATTTTACACACAATTTATTATAGCCAAAACGTAAAGTTTTTGTCTCTTAAAAAATCGTTCGCAATTCACAATCAATATTATCTCGTGTTGTTTCTTTTTTTGTTGTCGGATTGTGTGTAGTTGCCATGATGGGGCCTGAAAGAGATCATCACAAACTTTTGTATCTATCCCAAGTTCCTTTGGTACGTATAATATTAACCATAAAAAAAATAATAATCGATCAAACCATTTCAATATAAAAAGTACAATAAAATATCGTTTCTACAAAACAATAAAAAAGGTAAGGTATTTGGTAAGTAGTTTTTTGTGTTTATTTTTTAATTTTATAGATGATTAAAAAGTAGAGAAACTTTTTTAAGTACATAAGTTCTTTTTAATTTTATTGTGCGTTTATTAAAAAATCTAAAAACAGTTTTTTCTTCTACATAAATTCTTTTTTACAAATTATTTTGTACTTTTAACACTTAATAGAACTTTAATACGTTTGCAGTTAAGACCAAATTCTGCAATTTTCTTCGTCACAATTATCGCCATGACTTATAAGCTTATAACTCGATTGATAGAAATAAACTATAGATGTTAATATCTCAAAATGCTTGAAACAAGAAGATGGGCTGGTCCCTACCTTTTTAAAATGATAATTAGACAGATAAACATCGAAAAAGGAAAAGTTGGCAGCTTACATTACCTACAATGGATTCCAAACCACTGGAGAAAAACTTCGGACCAGAGAAACTGTATTTGCCTTAAAACACCACGCTGGCAAGACAGGTTGGGAAGTTGACGAGCGCACCATTGGGTGCAACGGTCGGCCGCTTAGACCGCTACACCACTCTCTCTCTTGAGGAAGAGTAAATACTGTTAATTTAGGAATAGTTACTAATTCATGTTCTTAAACAACTTGCAAAATATTAGATTCTGCTGCCAGAAGAATAAACAATGCTATTAAAGACTAAATACTGCTAAAAGAAGAGCTGCTGAAAAAAGATTAAATACTACTTGAGAAAGAGTAGATACTGCTACTTTAAGAATAGTTACTGCTAATTGATGTTCAGATACTATTTGCAAAACACTAAACGCTACTAGTTCGAGATTTGTTACTGCTAATTGATGTTCAGCTACTACTTGGAAAACTATCATTCTGCTTCCAGAAGAATCGACACTGCTATTGAAGACTAAATACTGCTAGTAGGGGATGACATACTGTTGGTAGAAGATTAAATACTATTGGAGGACGAGTGCATGTAGAACACAAAATTTTGCTAATACAAGAATACTCTGCTGGTAGACAGGGCTAATACAAGATTAGTTGCTGCTAACAGAGGATTGCATACTGTTGGCAGAAGATTAAACACTGCTGGCAAAGCACTAAATACTGCAAATGGAAGACTATCTGCTTCAAAAAATAACTAGATGCTGCTTGCCAAACATTAAATACCATAAATCTATACTTGATCTAGAACGAATGAAACAAAAAAGCACTTAATCAATATTTTTTGAACGTACTACAAGTATATTTACCGCCACCAAAATCAATTTAAATCGATCATTTTAAATAATTCCGAAGAAATAAGGTTTTTTTTTCAAAATAATTTCGTATAACTCGCAATATATGAATGCAGTAACCATAACTATAAAACAACTATGCACTTGCACTGTCCCACATAAAATGCAACATAGCGTAATAGTTTAGGCATTGGGTAGTTTTGCATAGGAAAAGTTTTTTTGGAAAAAGGGTCCTTATAACAACGCTAAGTTTTCGGCCGTCTTAAGAGACGCACGGCTAAACCCAAATATTTCTGGTTCTAGTCTAGTGTTAGTTCTACATTTCGTTCAATAAAAATTTACCACAATCTAACTCTGAATAACAATTAAAATTAGAACTAACATTAGACGCAGAACTATAAACATTCGGGTTTAGCCGCACGTCTCTCAAGACGGCTAAACCCGAATGATTATAGTTCTAGGTCTTGTGTTAGTTCTAGTGATAGTGCTAGTGTAAAACTAGAACTAACACTAGACCTAGAACTAGAAAGTATCGGAAACCCGAATGTTTCTAGTTCTAGGTATAGTGTTAGTTCTAGTTTTAGTTCAATAAAAATATGCAACATAGTGATATCTTATGTTAACTAGCGCTACCTACCACTGTCACTAGAACTAACATTAGACCTAGAACTAGAAACATTCAGACATGTAGCATTTTACGTGGAACAAAAGTAGTAGGTACGCCGAAATATATTTTTGTATATTGCATTTTAAGTGAAATTCACTGTATAGCCAAACGTAACATCCTGGAGATTAACAGGAGCAAAATTAAAAAGACGTCACGGAGACTAATCATATTAGAAATTGGATTACTTCATATATTCATAAATTTATTCATGAATATAACAAACAAAGTTTATTTCGCAATGTCCCACACATTATAATCCAAAAAAGTACACTGCAATAACAAGCTGCAAGTTTACAAAACAGTAATAAGGCTATTATAAGCTAAAAAAGTGAATATTCCATCATAATCGTCACTTGATTATGACGGAAAGGAAAAAATGTCTTTCTTGTTTTTGCTTAATAGCTTCGAAAGAAGGATTGATAATGGAATCAATTAAGGACAATAATGTCTAGGGATCTAAATTTAATCACTAAATGTATAATCTCTTTAAAGAAGAAGTAGCAGAGAGGTTGTCAAAGAGGATCTTAGACAGCCGAATGTATGAACAAAGATCAGTAGGGAGACACATCTTCGGGGTATTCGAGTATAGAGCAGGTCTGTAAAAGATGGTTAGGTCTGGAGCCAAAAAATAAACCTACTCTCAGAATCTATCAGATTGCGCCGGCGCCGGTTACAATGGGTGGGACATGTGACGAGAATGGAGGCAGAGAGATGGCCAAAAAGGATCTTGAACAGCCAAATGTATATGAAAAGATTATATTCATATTCGAGTGTAGAGGAGGATGGCAGGAGATGATTGACCAGATACGTGTGGAGGCAGAATATAAAGGAGACCAAGAACAACTCTAAGAATTTATCAGATTGCGAGAGTTACAGTGGGTTTCATCGAGAATTGATGCAGAGAAGTTGTTAAAGAGAATCTTGGACGGCCGAATGTATTCCGAGTTTCACTGACTCTAATTACATCAAATGATTCCTGAAATAACACTTAAATCGTCTCATTAGTTCCTAATATACTCTCTCTCTTATCTTTCTCATTCAATGATTCCGAGTAAATATATAACTGTATTTATGTTTTAGGTCCCAATGGAACTAAGCATGCTTATGGTATAAGAATACCTTAAGGCTACCTCGAATGTTCCATAGACTCTTTAATGTTTTACTTTAAATAGCAACATTAATATTAAAATGGTATCAAAATTGACAAATCGTTCGTATACTCAATAATGAATACGCACTAATCATCTATGCCTGGCATCATGGTCAGTATATCTTCATTATAGGAATCATGTACAGGCTCTTCGAGCAATATTTTCTAATTAGGAAGTATTCAAATTATTTATTCAGCTCTGAGAATTTATCAGACTGCAAGAGTTGTAGTGGATGAAGGCGAGGATGGACTCAGAGAGATTGCCAAAGGAACTTGGACAGCAGAATGTACGCGAAAAGTCCAGTGTGGAGAACCCGGAAACGATGCGAGAATGAAATATACTCATCTTTACTATCGCTTATAACAGATCAACTGTACTTACGATTTGAATTATATTCATTTGTTGATTGCAAATATCGCATCCACTCTTTATATTTTGATAAATAATAATACAAACGATAACATGAAACCTGAAGGATTGCTGCTAACAGGACTGGGAAAATTACTGGTTCATAAACTAATAATATAATATATATAATATAAATTCAATAAAAAGCAATACTTATTCTGGTCTTTTTCAATTTATTGTCTAACCGGTTTCGGCTTACGCCATCATCAGAGACCTTAGAAATATACCTTCAAATATACACGTTAAAATATAAAACGATGATCAATCAATGTAAATTTTAAATTTAACGTGAGTTTTAATGTGTTTATATTTATAATTTTAACTTGTATACCTTTGTGAAGCCATTTATATGAACAACTAAATGGAAATTAAGTTGCTACAATCTAATCTATATTTCTAATGTCTCTGAGGATGGCGTACGTCGAAACCGGTTAGACAACAAATTGAAAAAGACCAGAAAAAGTATTGCTTTTTACTAAATTTATATTATATAAAAAATAACTGGTCAACATGGATCAAACTCCTTCATCTAATTATAATGATATATAACCAATAAGGGATCCACATCCAGCAGTATTGATTGGCATCAGCATTCATACTACATTAAATATTTTATTTTACTATCATTAATCCCTAAAGAGTAGCTCTCTTCAGTTGGTGAAGCAATAATTGGAAGATGGCAATCTTAACATTTATTGAGTTCTTGGTCTCCTTAAACGCTTTGCGAGAGAAATTACTCTTGCAACCTGGAACTCAACAAGCATTAGACATTTTTCAAATAAAAAACTAAAAGGTTATAAACTATAGAAATTATAAAAAAATACTAAAAGAAAAAGAAGAAGAAAACAGCAAAAAAATAATAGATAGCAACACTCCGAATTGAAGACTCGCGCGTTGCAATTCAAAGATTAGCTTCTTCTCCTTGTTGGTCCGTTGGATATCCTTGGACGTATAACCATTCTATACAGAGTGTCTCCAAAATGCGTGTACAACGAAAGACCACAGATTGCTTTTCTCAATATAGGTCGATGTAAATTATCTATATCCAAAGTTGCTTCTTAAATCAGTGCCAACTACAATGCGGTTTTGTAATTGCAATGACGCAAATAAGGCTTGCAGATATTTAATATAGCCTATATTGCCTTTTTTTCTGGTTTAACCACTTACGTAATCAAAATGTTATAACAGACAAAAAAGTTTCAAAACTAAATGGGCTATTCAGAAATTATAACAATGTAGTTGTCGCCTGATTAGTAAAAGATGTATGGGGTAATATCCGCTGAACACATGACTTTTCCATCATTTCTATGTTTCTAAAATTGTATCAGAAACCATAAAAAGACGTTAATTGAACCTAGGAACTCGCTTCTGAAAAGTGGTTTAAATTGATTTACGCGTTTTCTAATTATAAAAAATAAGAGAGTTTATTTTGCTAACTTTGAAGTTCTCTAATGGCGAAACGAACCAACTTTGGATATGGATAACTTAAATCGACTTATTTTGACGCAAGGTATCTTCCATTGTACATGCATTTCGGAGACACACTCTGTGTATAACCTTCTCGACAACTTCTTTTGAAAGATGTTTTTCATTCTTCAAATTTTATCTGTCGCAACTGGAATGATAACTTATTATCGTTTTCTTCCTCTATTGTGAACTTTATCATTGAATGCTGGTTGTTTAAACGGCTTAAGAAATCCTCAAGCCTTTCTATATTTCGTACCCATAACTTTAGTTTCCAAGGTCTAGTTTTAAAAGTTGGCGATAAAAGCTGAAGATGATATAATAACGGCGATCTCTTAGCCACTCCTTTATATTGCTTTATGAGCAACATAAAGGAGTGAGAACTAAGCCAATTCTCTCTTTTATCCTGTGTAAAGCTATTCTTCCACTAATCGTCAACTTTCCACCGGTTTTGTTACTTTTGAATTTGTTCCTGTTGCAACATAGCATCTTGTTGCATCATTCACATCACCTGAAAATTTCTAGTTCTAATTTTATTTTCAATTCTATTATAATTTGGTAAAATTTCCTGTTTCGTCAGCATTCATATTTACGCAGAACTTAAAAACTTTTGGGCCACTCAACTCTGGGACTTTTGCTTAACTGACAATGTTGAAAGTATACGATTAAGTCGAGACGCTATAATACATGTTAACCAATCATCTTCAATATATTGCCAATTGTAAAGGCTTGGCCGCAAGCAACCTCGGCTAAATTGACAATCCAGAACATATGCTTTATTACGATTAAGCAAAGGCACAGTTTACACTTATCATGGTTATTATGTGATGTAATACTTCGACCATAGACGAGCTCGACTTAAGCCGAGGCGCTATATTAAATGTCAACCAATATTGTCTCAATTGTAACATCTCGGCCGCAAGCGAGTTCGGCTTAACTGTCAATGCAAAACGTATGCTTATGTACGATTAAGCCGAAATTCTACATTTGACACAATATTGGTTAACATGTGATGTAGCATCTCGGCCGCAAGCGACCTCGGTTTGGTTGTTTAAAAACATCGTTTTCTTTGATTAAGTACTGACCTCAGCTTATATAGATTTACTTATTTCTACAACAATGAAACAAAATCATAGATTCTCTTTTTTAAGTTTGGCTGAGTTCACTTACGGCCGAGGGGCTACTATATGCTTGTCAGATTTAGGTTAATATTCTAGGTTGTCTAGACACTAAATTTAATATTATCTTGATACAACGTTGATTAACAAGTTAATTAGCAAGCGATGTCAGCTTAATCGTATAAAAGCAAAAATCCACTGCTGAATTACTCCAACATCAAGTTAATATTTTGAGTATCGGTCTGAAATTTATATAAAATATTCTTGAATTCTTTCAAGATATATAAAAAATCAAAAAATGTTACTCATATGAATACTCTTAAGCATAAAATAAAGTATTTATTGACATAAATGTTATTATCAACTTGTTGTAAAAAGTTCTATTGAGTGTTAAAGTTGTACTACAAAACAATATAAATGCCTTGTATAAGTTAATATCTAATTCGATATTTTATTTTATTAAAAAAAAGGTGAGGGAACGTTCAGGAAGATCTGTTCCAATGTCGAGATCATCAAGAACAGCCGGAACTCCGGACTCTCAATCAGATACCGAAGGCACCGGATTGAAAACACCGAGAAAAATGTCTTACAGGTCCACTTTAACACCAGGCGGATCAAGACCCAGTTCTCAACCGGCTTCAAGAACCGGTAGTAGACCTGGAAGTAAACCACCATCTAGACACGGTTCTAATTTGTCGTTAGATAGCACCGGTAAATTAATTAAAATAAATGTTGATTAATTAAAATCAATATAAAACGTTCTTAGATGATGGAACTCCATCAAGAATTCCAAGAAGAACTACAGTAAGTAGAACGGGGACGAGTACACCAAGAAGATTGGGTGTGAATGGAACTGGTTCAAGACCAAGAACTCCAACGGGATTGATTTCGCCAGCGAGTCCAGCTCAAAGGTGAGCGTTTTTAAAATTTGATAAATCTCATATTAATATGACATATTAAAATGGAACTAACATTAAATAAAACTACTAACTGTGTGTGTTCACGGCGAATCAAACTAATCTTTGCATGTTAATCAGATCGTCCATTCCGAGAGCATCAAGCATACCGGCTTTAACCACTTTTTCAACCCCAAGGTAACTAAATCTAACAAATTTTTTAACCTTCGAGCGGGCACGTGTCATAAATTTTATGACATCAAGTTCGTATTAATAAGTATTACGGTATTTTTAATAAAACAGTTAAAACATGCATTTTGCTAGAGTATTAAACAATTGTTAAAAACATAAAATGAAATCGATTCATTTTTGAAATCTAACAACATTTACACACTACTACCACGAATTTTATATAAGTGGCAATAAATGAATGCAGTAACCATAGTTACGAAACTACTGTGCACTTGCACTGTGCCACATAAAATGCAACATAGCTTAGGCCCGGTATATTCATCTCCAAGTAAAGTGTCTGTTAGTGGTACTTGACAGAATAAGACTTACTTGTAAGAATAATTGTATATTCACCTCCTGGTAAAGTTAATCTGTCCGTTAATGGTAGCTACCAGAGGGTTAATTTACTTGCGGCAAATTCTTATCAGTAAAGATTTATATGTCAGATTAAATTAAATCTGTTTTCTAGACCGAAAACTAGAAACATTCGGATTTAGCCGCACGTCTCTCAAGACGGCTAAACCCGAATGATTCTAGTTCTAGGTCTTGTGTTAGTTCTAGTAATAGTGCTAGTGTAAAACTAGAACTAATACTAGATCTAGAACTAGAAACATTCAGGTTTAGCCGTCTTAAGCCTTTGAATATTTTCATAAACTTACGAAAAACCGAAAAGAGTGAAATATTGAAAAGATGAAAAAAATTTCAATTCCGACAAAATTGTCATTACAGACCTGTATTTTTCAAAAATGTGCAAACGATCTGAAACCTTCATGTATGACTCACAACCTGTTTATAATACATTTATATCCCTTAATATATCCCATAATATAAATAGGGCCTTATAAATTAGCAATTAATGCGTAAATTTATTGTCTCTTATAACTTTTTTTGCCATAAAAACAACGTCAATATATTTTCTTTATGCAAACGTTTTTCCCTATCACCTTTACTTTTCTACTTATAACAGAATTTAACGCAGATGATTGTCAATTTTGATATTTTGAGAATTCCTGTCTTGAACCTAAGAAATGGTGATATCTATGGTGGCATTGACTATGGATTATGTTATCTTGACTCATTATCATTAATTTTTATGGGAAACGTTTTTTTCTATCACCTTTAGTTTTCTACTTATAACAGAATTTAACGCAGATGATTGTAAATTTTGATATTTGAATTCCTGGCTTGAACCTAAGAAATGGTGATCTCTATGATGGCATTGACTATGGATTATGTTATCTTGATTTATTATCATTAATTTTTATGGGAAACGTTTTCTCTGTCACCTTTAATTTTCTACTTATAACAGAATTTAACGCAGATGATTGTGAATTTTAATATTTTGAGAATTCCTGGCTTGAACCTAAGAAATGGTGATATCTATGGTGGCATTGACTATGGATTATGTTATCTTGATTCATTATCATTAATTTTTATGAGAAACGTTTTTTTCTATCATCTTTCATTTTCTACTTATAACAGAATTTAACGCAGATGATTGTCAATTTTGATATTTTGAGAATTCCTGGCTTGAATCTAAGAAATGGTGATCTCTATGATGGCATTGACTATGGATTATATTATCTTGATTCATTATCATTAATTTTTATATTAAACGTTTTTCTCTATCACCTTTAATTTTCTACTTATAACAGAATTTAATGCAGCTGATTGTCAATTTTGATATTTTGACAATTCCTGGCTTGAGCCTAAGAAATGATGATATCTATGGTGGCATTGACTATGGATTATGTTATCTTGATCCGTTATCATTAATTTTTATGGGAAACGTTTTTCTCTATCACCTTTAATTTTCTACTTATAACAGAATTTAAGGCAGATGATTGTCAATTTTGATATTTTGGGAATTCCTTTCTTGAACCTAAGAAATGATGATATCTATGGTGGCATTGACTATGGATTATGTTATCTTGACTCATTATCATTAATTTTTATGAGAAACGTTTTTTTCTATCATCTTTCATTTTGATATTTTGAGAATTCCTGGCTTGAACCTAAGAAATGGTGATCTCTATAATGGCATTGACTATGGATTATATTATCTTGATTCATTATCATTCATTTTTATGGGAAACGTTTTTGTCTAACACCTTTAATTTTCTACTTATAACAGAATTTAACGCAGCTGATTGTAAATTTTGATATTTTGAGAATTCCTGGCTTGAGCCTAAGAAATGATGATATCTATGGTGGCATTGACTATGGATTATGTTATCTTTATTCATTATCATTAATTTCTATGGGAAACGTTTTTCTCTCTCACTTTCAGTTTTTTAATCATAACAGAATTTAATGTAGATGATTGTCAATTTTGATATTGTGGGATTTCCTGGCTTGTGCATAGGAAATTGAGATAACTATGGTGGTATTGCTTATGAATTATGTTATCTTGATCCATTATCATCAATTTGGAACCAATCAACTTGTCTGGCCACTCCAGCCATAAACATAACTTTAGTTATGAACCGTTTGCTTTTACAGCGCCTTTCTGGTTCTGCTTCGTCCAGCTTCATGATCTTTATGACTTTTAACTTGCGTTGAGTCGTACATATCCTCAAAACATCGATTTGATTTAACCTTCGACGAACAGAACTCTAGTTTCTTTATTTAATTAAATTAAGATTACATCATATTGTATTAAATAGATAGAAAGTCGTTAATTCTCCAAACTTTCCTTAATCCATAAATTTTAGAGAAATGTATACTATAATTTGAGACATCTTTTTTCATCATGTTCAAAATACATAGTTACATGAATAGTTTAGCGTTAAATCCTTTCAAATGCATCTTAAATATAAGGAGATATGTTATAAAAACGAAAATTATCATAAATTTTATGACAGCGCGCCCGCTCGAAGGTTAATGCAAAAATTAAAGGTCATTACAAAAAAATCTGCTTTTTAAAAAATCATTAAATCAAATCATTTTTTCTAATAAATTTTAAATAACCAGGTCACGTATCCCCGTTTATAAAGGAAGTAATGATACAATGGACCCAGAGTCACCTTCACAATCAACATCGAGTTCTTGCTCGGTTTCTTTCTCTTCTGGGTAAAACTGATTTAACTAAATGCACGAAATTNCTTGAACCTAAGAAATGGTGATATCTATGGTGGCATTGACTATGGATTATGGTATCTTGATTCGTTATCATTAATTTTTATGGGAAACGTTTTTCTCTATCATCTTTAATTTTCTACTTATAACAGAATTTAACTCAAATAACTGTCAATTTTGATATTTTGAAAATTCCTAGCTTGAACCTAAGAAATGGTGATATCTATGGTGGCATTGACTATGGATTATGTTATCTTGATTCATTATCATTAATTTTTATGGGAAACGTTTTACTCTATTACCTTTAATTTTCTACTTATAACAGAATTTAACGCAGCTGATTGTCAATTTTGATATTTTGAGAATTCCTGGCTTGAACCTAAGAAATGGCGATATATATGGTGGCATTGACTATGGATTATGTTATCTTGACTCATTATCATTAATGTTTATGGGAAACGTTTTTCTCTATCATCTTTAATTTTCTATTTATAACAGAATTTAACGCAGATGATTGTCAATTTTGATGTTTTGAGAATCCTGGCTTGAACCTAAGAAATGGTGATATCTATGGTGGCATTGACAATGGATTATGTTATCTTGATTCATTATAATTGATTTTTATGGGAAACGTTTTTCTCTATCACCTTTAATTTTCTACTTATACCAGAATTTAAGGCGGATGATTATCAATTTTGATATTTTGAGAATTCCTGACTTGAGCCTAAGAAATGGCGATATCTATGGTGGCATTGACTATGGATTATGTTATCTTGATTCATTAACATTAATTTTTATGGGAAACTTTTTCTCTATCACCTTTAATTTTCTACTTATAACAGAATTTAACGCAGATGATTGTCAATTTTGATATTTTGAGAATTTCTGGCTTGACCCTAAGAAATGGTGATATCTATGGTGGCATTGACTATGGATTATGTTATCTTGACTCATTATCATTAATTTTTATGGGAAATGTTTTTCTCTATCACCTTTAATTTTCTACTTATAACAGAATTGAACGCAGATGATTGTGAATTTTGTTATTTTGTTAATTCCTGGCTTGAACCTAAGAAATGGTGATATCTATGGTGGCATTGACTATAGATTATGTTATCTTGATTCGTTATCATTAATTTTTATGGGAAACGTTTTTCTCTATCACCTTTAGTTTTGTACTTATAACAGAATTTTACGCAGATGATTGTTAATTTTGATATTTTGACAATTTCTTGCTTGAGCCTAAGAAATGATGATATCTATGGTGGCATTGACTATGGATTATATTATCTTGATTCATTATCATTAATTTTTATGGGAAACGTTTTTCTCTATCACCTTTAATTTTCTACTTATAACAGAATTTAACGCAGCTGATTGTCAATTTTGATATTTTGAGAATTCCTGGCTTGAGCCTAAGAAATGATGATATCTATGGTGGCATTGACTGTAGATTATGTTATCTTGATTCGTTATCATTAATTTTGATGGGAATCGTTTTTCTCTATCATCTTTAATTTTCTACTTATAACAGAATTTAATGTAGATGATTGTCAATTTTGATATTGTGGGATTTCCTGGCTTGTGCATAAGAAATTGAGATAACTATGGTGGTATTGCTTATGAATTATGTTATCTTGATCTATTATCATCAATTTGGAACCAATCAACTTGTCTGGCCACTGCAGCCATAAACATAACTTTAGTTATGAACCGTTTGCTTTTACAGCGCCTTTCTGGTTCTGCTTCGTCCAGTTTCATGTAGTATCCGCAAAACATCGATTTGAGTTAACCTTCGTCAAACAGATCTTTCATTAATTAAATTAGGATTACATTATATACAATTATATACAATTAAATAGACAGAAACTCGTTAATTCTCCAAACTTTCCTTAATCCATAAATTTTAGAGAAATGTATACTATAATTTGAGACAGAGGGAGTATCTTTTTTCATCATGTTTAAAATATGTAGTTATATGAATACTTTAGCGTTAAATCCTTTCAAATGCATCTTAAATATAAGGAGATATATTATAAAAACGAAAATTGTCACAAATTTTATGATAGCGCGCCCGCTCGAAGGTTAATGCAAAAATTAAAGGTCATTACAAAAAAATCAGCTTTTTAAAAAATCATTAAATCAAATCATTTTTTTCTAATAAATTTTAAATAACCAGGTCACGTATCCCCGTTTATAAAGGAAGTAATGATACAATGGACCCAGAGTCACCTTCACAATCAACATCGAGTTCTTGCTCGGTTTCTTTCTCTTCTGGGTAAAACTGATTTAACTAAATGCACGAAATTTTAATTTTTTTTAGAGTTTTTAATTTCTTAATTAAAAATTTTTGAATTTTTGAACTTTAAAGTTTTACTTTTCCAATTTTTTAATTAATCTGTGTCGTCTGGGTGACTCATTTCTGTGTTTTTTCGCTTTAACAAGCTTCCGTTCTTTGCCATCGAGCGGAAAAACAAAAATACCTGTTGTAAAAAGCAGGTAAATCAAAAAACTTGAAATGGAAAAGCATGATTTATTGTGCATGGGTTTCTTTTTGTGAAAATTATAACTTTATAAAAAAACGATTAAGTACTAACAAATTTAATGATTTCGCATGTATTAAACAGGCCAGCTACGCATTCTCGATCTACAACCAACACTACTATTCCTAACGCTCCGAATTTACGGACAGCATCTAGGTAATTAACAAATAACTTTACGCTTATTTGTGTTTTTGTAAATTATTCTTACCTTAATTGTTTAATTTCTTCCCCCCGTTTTAAATTAAATCGTCCCAAAATTAACTTAATTTAAATTTAACAACAATTTCTTAATAGAACTAGGACACCATCGGGTTCAAACACCCCGGTTCCACCTGGAATGCAAACTGCGGCTTCAAGATTATTACGAAAACCATCCGATTCGAAATCGAAGGAATCTAAAGAACCGTTTAGGCTTTAAATTTTAATTCTGAATTTAATAAAAATGTTAATCCGTATTAATCCATGACTTAACCGAAAAAAATAAACTTTACTGAAATGAAATAATTATTAAAAAGCGCTTTAAATATTTACGAGAAACGTTAGTAAATCGTTCGTATTTTATATAATATTTCTATCCGGGATGATGAAACACAATTTGCAAATGAATTTGGTATCGCCAGGCCAAAAACAAGCAAATTNAAATATAAGGAGATATATTATAAAAACGAAAATTGTCACAAATTTTATGATAGCGCGCCCGCTCGAAGGTTAATGCAAAAATTAAAGGTCATTACAAAAAAATCAGCTTTTTAAAAAATCATTAAATCAAATCATTTTTTTCTAATAAATTTTAAATAACCAGGTCACGTATCCCCGTTTATAAAGGAAGTAATGATACAATGGACCCAGAGTCACCTTCACAATCAACATCGAGTTCTTGCTCGGTTTCTTTCTCTTCTGGGTAAAACTGATTTAACTAAATGCACGAAATTTTAATTTTTTTTAGAGTTTTTAATTTCTTAATTAAAAATTTTTGAATTTTTGAACTTTAAAGTTTTACTTTTCCAATTTTTTAATTAATCTGTGTCGTCTGGGTGACTCATTTCTGTGTTTTTTCGCTTTAACAAGCTTCCGTTCTTTGCCATCGAGCGGAAAAACAAAAATACCTGTTGTAAAAAGCAGGTAAATCAAAAAACTTGAAATGGAAAAGCATGATTTATTGTGCATGGGTTTCTTTTTGTGAAAATTATAACTTTATAAAAAAACGATTAAGTACTAACAAATTTAATGATTTCGCATGTATTAAACAGGCCAGCTACGCATTCTCGATCTACAACCAACACTACTATTCCTAACGCTCCGAATTTACGGACAGCATCTAGGTAATTAACAAATAACTTTACGCTTATTTGTGTTTTTGTAAATTATTCTTACCTTAATTGTTTAATTTCTTCCCCCCGTTTTAAATTAAATCGTCCCAAAATTAACTTAATTTAAATTTAACAACAATTTCTTAATAGAACTAGGACACCATCGGGTTCAAACACCCCGGTTCCACCTGGAATGCAAACTGCGGCTTCAAGATTATTACGAAAACCATCCGATTCGAAATCGAAGGAATCTAAAGAACCGTTTAGGCTTTAAATTTTAATTCTGAATTTAATAAAAATGTTAATCCGTATTAATCCATGACTTAACCGAAAAAAATAAACTTTACTGAAATGAAATAATTATTAAAAAGCGCTTTAAATATTTACGAGAAACGTTAGTAAATCGTTCGTATTTTATATAATATTTCTATCCGGGATGATGAAACACAATTTGCAAATGAATTTGGTATCGCCAGGCCAAAAACAAGCAAATTAAATTACATCCTTGGTTGGTTATTTAAAAAAAAAAGACGATTCGAAAAAAAAAAACTATCTAAAAAGGAAAAACAATCAACTTCAGTTGCCATAATATTATATTATATTAAAATAGCGTATACGAACGCCTCAAAGAACGATAAGTACTAATTCATATCGTTTTTCTTTTTTTAATTATTAATAATTGATGCTACTTCATTTTTTTGTTATTATTAATTATTAAAAATAGTAAATTTACGGGACCATAATTTACGTTTTTCTGTTATTATCTTTTTTTTTGTACACGTTCAATATTTGTTTTTTGGTACTAATTAATCAAGTTTAATTTATCGTTTTAAATCATCATTTAACACAAAAAAAAGTAGTAAAATGATGATGATTAATCCCATTTAGTTGATAAGTTTATCTAATTCTGATTTCAATTCTTTTTTCTTTCTTATTTTTAATACGCGAAGATCGTTAATTTTTTTTTTGTAGGGACATGTAAAATTTTTAATACGATCATTAGAATTTGTATAGTAAGTGCAACTTTGCCGATTGTTCATAAATCGCCAGTTATGAACGATCCGCAACAGTCAATGAAATAATATTTATCAAGAGATCATATTTATGAATTTATTTGCTTGTATTGTTTATTTAAATAAACTAATTTTTTAATAAAATATAGTTTTTTTTTTAATCTTTTATATACGTTTATTTATCCCAACGTATACAATAGTTCTGATTACATCTGTCCTCATGGTCCAATGTCTAAACTCCTCTGATATAAGCTCAATTTGTGAAACAATTAAAACTAAAAGTAGAACCAACTAGTGATGGGCACAACTTTATGATATACAAAAATATTAATCCAACATTAGAGAAATTAAAACATCTAGGTGAAAAGGCGAAGTTCAGAAAGCACGGAATGAATGAAATTGGAAACGAGGACGNGTGTTTCTGAGGTTAAAACTTTATGATAAAAAACGACACAGTGAAGCTACCTACGTCTATCCATGTTCAACCACCCCAATGTGGCCAATTTGTGAGATATATGATCATACTTCCTAATACCAAATATGAATCGCAGGCAAGAATTTTGTAGTCGCTGAACACAAAGATCACCTTCAACAAATAAGGCCCATACACCACATTGGAAAAATTAAATCGGGATAAAACCAGCGATTGGCATAACGTTGCTTTGGTGTGAAAGCCCAGTATGTGCCAACAGGGGTAAAAAGCCTTTAATTTAGCATAAGCCGCTTGAAATATGTTTGCGAAGTCTTAAATTAGTTTCAGCTTGGACTCCACCAAGGTTACGAACCTAAGAAACCACCAGGAGAAGTTGTTCATTTATATTTATATTAACGAAGTCGGAGTATTNTTGTGAAACAATTAAAACTAAAAGTAGAACCAACTAGTGATGGGCACAACTTTATGATATACAAAAATATTAATCCAACATTAGAGAAATTAAAACATCTAGGTGAAAAGGCGAAGTTCAGAAAGCACGGAATGAATGAAATTGGAAACGAGGACGAGTTGGAGTTGTCCTTTGGTAGTGCGGTTGAGGAGTGTGAAACAAACAAGGAAGTTACGTACCTTAAACAGCATTTATTACATAAAGACAGTACAATCAATGATCTGCGTGAATATATAAAATCGCTTAAGCAACAAATAACGTTATTAAATGCGTTTGTGAAATTAAATAATGTGGAAACTTTAAAAATAAGTGTTGACAACGAGGAACCGGTCAATCGGCGCTCGATCGACGCGCGGCAACAACAAATGTCACCTGGCCCAAAGCCGGTCCCAACATATGCAGACAAGGTTGTTGATCGGAAAATAACAAAAACGAAAGAAAATAGTGTGAGTATTTTCGACAATAAAAATAAAAACAAAACTAAAAATAAAGAGTTAGTAAAGCCCGTAACTAACATCAAGAAGGGTACGAAAAAAAGCGAAAAACAAAGAAAACGCGTATCGGAACAAATTACAGGTACAGCTGATTCGAATTCGTTGCTGAGAGCTGCAGAAAAGACGGCTTGGCTCTATATTGGGAGACTATCAAAAGATACTGAACAAGAAGTTGTCAGGGAGTACCTCAAATCTAAGATACCTGGAGAAGACTTTATTGTAGAAGACATAAAAAAAGGACCCGAAAATAAAAGTATTAGTAAATCTTTCAAGGTGGGTTTTAAGCATGACATATTACATGATATTAACAAGGAGGATTTTTGGCCAAAAAATATTATCGTCAGGCCATATCGGCTTTTTCGGACCACAAAGAGTACCATACGAACAAACGTATAACCACTACATAACGATTCTAAATATTAATATCCAGTCTCTAAGTAGGAANTTGTTGTGAAAACTATCGGCCTATCTCAATACTCCCTGTCATGTCAAAAATACTCGAAGAGCTAATAAAGAAAAGGCTAATGAGCTATCTGAAGAAATACGATATTTTGAATGATGCGCAGCATGGCTATACGGAGGGACGATCTACAATCACAGCCATTGTAAAAGCTATTGAAGAGATCACAACAGCTCACGATCATCATAGAGAAACTATACATACTGTGACCTAAGTCGTGCATTCGACACTGTTAACCACGAAATATTGTTAACCAAGATGTCAGCATATGGAATACGAGGAATTCCACTTGAACTAATGAAATCGTACCTTAACAATAGAAGCCAAACTGTGAGTTGGTGTGGTGAAAGATCAGAAATGAGACCATGCAAACATGGGGTGCCCCAGGGGTCGATATTAGGTCCGATATTATTCATCATCTACATGAACGACCTTCCACACAATGTAAAAAATGTTACAACATGTTTATATGCAGATGACACATCGTTCGTGGTAAAAGGTACAACATCGGCGGAGATCGAGAGAAGAACGAATGATGCCGTTGATGCTACAATTGAGTGGATGCGTGCAAATAAACTTCACATAAATGACTCTAAAACACAAACTTTACACTTTTTTAATTGTAGTGAAACATGCGTTAAATTTCTTGGGCTGACATTTGATGCTAAGTTGAATTGGCACAATCACGTGGACGCGCTGTGTAAACGTTTGACGTGTGGTGTGTATGTTGTGCGTCGATTGATGAATTGTGCTGATCAGAACGTTGCTAGGGCAGCCTACTTTTCGACTTTTCATGCCATCGCGACCTATGGGATCACCATCTGGGGCTCTTCGTCGGCTGTGGGAAGGGTGTTCCTACTGCAGAAGCGTTGTATACGTGCTCTGGAAAACCTACAAACGAAACAAACATGTAGACCGTCATTTAAAAAATTAAATATACTTACATTACCGTGTGTATATATACTTACATGTTTATATTATGTACACAGCAGTGAACATTTTAAAAGAAATAACTTTAAACACGAGTATAATACTCGTAATAAACATTTGTTAGAAGTGCCGTTGCACCGTCTAAATTTGACCAGACAGGGCGTCGATTATCACGGCGTCAAACTTTATAATAAATTACCACCTAATGTAAAGATGTTGTCCAACACGCGATTTAAGGTATATGTACGTAATTTACTAATAAAAAAATGCTATTACTCCTGTGAGGAATATTTTCAGGACACTGACTATTTTATTTGTTAACTTATTTGTTGTTTGTTAACTTGTTTGTTATTTGTACTCCATCTGTTTGTGAAGATATGATTGTAACTGTAATGACGTTTCATGTAATGTTTATTGTATGAATAAAGAACTATTATTAGAACTATTATTAAAAAAAAAAAAAAAAACCAACGCAAGGAAGCGGTAACCCAAAAAACTATTCTATTAGAACGGGGGAAGAAGACCTTTGAATCTTAAGTTCAAATGATGTACATCAGTTCGATACCATACTCTGTCCAAGAAATACTCAGGTGTTTCTGAGGTTAAAACTTTATGATAAAAAACGACACAGTGAAGCTACCTACGTCTATCCATGTTCAACCACCCCAATGTGGCCAATTTGTGATATGATCATACTTCCTAATACCAAAAATGAATCGCAGGTAAGCATTTTGTAGTCGCTGAACACCTTCAACAAATAAGGCCCATACACCACATCAGAAAAATTAAATCGGGATAAAACCAGCGATTGGCATAACGTTGCTTTGGTGTGAAAGCCCAGTATGTGCCGACAGGGGTAAAAAGCCTTTAATTTAGCATAAGCCGCTTGAAATATGTTTGCGAAGTCTTAAATTAGTTTCAGCTTGGACTCCACCAAGGTTACGAACCTAAGAAACCACCAGGAGAAGTTGTTCATTTATATTTATATTAACGAAGTCGGAGTATTTTTGAACTTCTCCCCTTCGACCGAAGACCATAACCTTTGCTTTAACCTTGAACCTTTCTGCAAGCTGAGAAAAAGCATCCAATTCCCTGTTGATCACAACTACGCTATCATCAAAATTATCTGGAAAAATTAATAAGATGAGCTGTATAAATAGAAAACAGGAGTGGTGATAATATTGATTCCTGGGCAACTTCTGATCCTAGTAACGATATTTTAATAAAAATGAAATTAATAAGAAAGCTGATAAGATATGTCAACTTATTTGGATCCAAGATACAAAAGGAATTTTTTTGATGCTTATTTAACCAACGAAGCAACTCTAAAAAGACGATACTTTAATTAATAATTGGCTATATTTCCACAAGGATCCTTCAAGAAATGAATTTTATAGCGAAATTTGAAAATTATCGATGAAAATTTTATCAGAACTTCAAATATTGTTGTCTCAAAAACTAAAAGTAATTTTTCAAAACGTGTTGGTTCATTGGAAAGAGGACACTTTTATTAACACTTTGGGACATTTTCATACTCATAGTCCAAGAAATGGAAGAAGAAAACAATATTTATTTGGACTTATATAAATATTATAACAATAAGAAATACGAAAAGAAATACATATATAAAATAAATATAAAAAAACAGTCCAAAAGGGCTATAGACCTAAGTCTTCCTGCCCGTGATTTTGAATTCGGTTTGGTTTTACTTGGGTCTTCTCAGTTGGGCCTTATTTTTTTAAGAAGTGTGAGCCGTGTTATGGGACAGCGGGTAAGGGAAAGGGGAATGATGACAAGATTTTTTAAGGCGTTTTTGGGGAAGTTCATAGTTGCTTTAAGGGCTAAGGATTGTAGACGGGAGTTTATAGGAGGAATCTTTGTAAGGTCGTAAAGGAGTTCGTTGGAAGGGTTGAAAAGTGGGTTGTGAGGGTGTCTAATGCGGGTGATAATTCTCAGGGCTGCTCTCTCTGCTACTTCCAGATGGTACTGTGATCCTCTCGGCGCTTCAGTCATGATTAATGAGGCATATTCGATAATAGGTCGGCATATTGAGGTGTATATGTGAGTAGCGCATTTGGTGGATATCCCTCGGCCTCTATATGAGAGTGAGCGGAAGTGTTTGGCGCGGTTTTTGACTTTCATTTTTACCTTGATGGCGTGGGTAGAGAATTTAAGGGTTCTATCCAAGGTAATGCCGAGGTAGTTACAAGTTGGTGATGCTGTGATAGGAGAAGATTGAATTATTATTGTGGGAGGAGCAACGCGAATAGGGAGGAAGGGGATGAAGAATTGGGTTTTGGAAGGATTTATCAGGATACGCCATTTTCGGTACCATTCCTCTATGTTTTGGATGAGCGTCTGCAGCCTTAGGATTGATGATGGAATGTCTACATCATGTGCGACGAGAGTAGTATCATCGGCATAAAGTAGGGCGTAAGACATCGGATCGAAGACGTCTGGGTTGTCGTTGTAGATGTCATGGCAGTAGACGTTGTACAGTGCTGGCGAGATGGGAGAGCCTTGAGGGAGACCTTGTTGAGCGGTGAAACTGTGAGAGTAGTAGTTTTTCACTTTAACCAATGAGGAGCGGTCTGAAAGAAATTCTTTTAGCAGGTTAAGAAGATAAGATGGGATTTTCAACAAAGCTAGCTTGTACAGTAGACCTCTGTGCCATACGGAGTCGAATGCCTTCCGAACATCCAGGAAGACTGCGACGGATTGTTGTTTTTGGAAACGTGCTACTTGGAAGTTTGAGACAAGCACTGCCAAGGGATGAGATGTAGATCTACCTTGTTGGAATCCAAATTGGTATGACGGAATCCTCCTTGCAACAACATCGAGCAGCTTGTTCTTCAAGTGCACCTCGAAAAGCTNCTGCCAAGGGATGAGATGTAGATCTACCTTGTTGGAATCCAAATTGGTATGACGGAATCCTCCTTGCAACAACATCGAGCAGCTTGTTCTTCAAGTACACCTCGAAAAGCTTCCCCATTACCGGTAGCAATGAGATAGAACGGTAGTTCGCAGGGTCGGATAGAGAAGAATCTTTCTTGGGGATGCATATGATAATAGAGGTCTTCCAATCTTGTGGAAAATGCTGGGTGGTAAGACAATAGTTGTAAATTTTTCTTATGTAGGCGTGGATATCAAGATCCAGCTTCCTTAAGATTTCCCTTGAGATGTTGTCGTATCCAGGGGATGTGTTGGTTCCTCTGTTAAGAAGTGTGAAGTATTCTTCTTCCTACATGAGAGCATCTTGAGGTGTTTCGGGCGAATTGAGAAAGGCGTGTTGGTACCAATTGTCTATTGTGTTTTTGTTGTGAGGGCAGAACAGGGCCTCATTGCTGAAGGAAAACACCCTCTCAAGGTATTCAGCGTGGATATTTACGATTTTTTCCGGACTAGAGTGTGAGCAGCCATCCGTAGGGTCAATAAGCTCCTGGGTTTCTGGGGACTTTTGGTACTTCGAAAGTTTGCGGACTTCTTGCCAGTAGTTTTTACCCTTGCTTCTGTTGATTTTATCACAGGCCTCAATGTATTTTTCACTTCTGAATTGCTGCACTAGCTTTTGGATATTTTTATTAAGCTCATTGAACATTCTTTTCAGAGCAGG